AAAAAAAGAAAAAGACTCAGCTATTAGGTGAGAACTATCATTTTTCCAGGCCTCATATTTTCATGATGGGGCGGAGGAGAGGGCTTCAACTGGACTGACACTCCTGGCCTCGGTCTCCACCTATGGTGAGAAGCAGCTCCAAGAAAAAATAGGTGACGGTTGTGGCTGGAAACATTTGCACTTGCGCTTCTGATTTCAGGTTCTTCTTTAAATGTTTCCTCTTTTCTCAGAGTCTTAATGCATATGGCAACCGTCTTGAAGTCAGAATTCACAAAGACTGTTCACACCTCAGTTTCAGATGCCCTGAGGAAAGCCTATCTCTTGGTGATTGTATTGGACACCCTGCAAAGTGAAATTTACGTAGGTCAAATTAGACTACCCTAAATATTCCTTAAGAAAAATTTTGGTGTGATGCACTAACAGACAGAAGTTTAATTTCAGTTTTGTTAACATTATCTGATTGACCTCAATAGATAATTGTCTTGTATTCTTAAACTAAAATAATTATTCTTTACATCTATCATCCAAAATTTAATTGTTTCATAAAATAACCTCTTGTAATTAGATCACTGAGTTTAGAAAACTGAGGGCTATATTTTACAACTAAGTTATTCTGTAAGAGATAAGATAAGCACTGATATTTTCCTCTGGCCATGGAAAGATGCTAGGAGCAGTTGTTGCCCAGGATCTTCTCCATGTGTCGTTTTTGGTCCACCTGTCCCTGTACTGCAGGTTATTCTGTGTCCCAGGAGGCCATTCTTTCTGTACTGAGTCAACCCTTACTCTCTAACTTACAGTTGAGTCCAGCCAATGGGAGACAGGGCAGACAATCAAAGATAGGAGACTGCAGTTTGACAGGGGCTGCATTTCTCTTTGGAAGGTCACGGATCCTGTCAAGTGGCTTTCCTCCGGCTACAGCTCTGGCTGGTTCTTGAAGAAAACTATTCCTTCCTCTCACCCTTTCAGAATGGTAACTGAATCCTGCTGTCATTCAAATGAACGTTCTAATTTGGCCTTTCACTTTTCAGTAAAAAGTGTAACCTCCCCCATGTGTTCCCTTGATCTCTAAATTATAGTGTCTTGGGTCAATAATAGAGAATGCCCTACTCTGCAAGCCTTTCCTTGACAGGGACTAAACTCTGAACTATCCCATTGCTCAACACTTCTCTACAGCCCAGCGAGAAAATTGATTAGAATTGGGTGACGTATACAAAGTTTATACATTAAGCCTCAGTAGAATACGACTACTAGCAATTAATCTTTGGAAGAATAGATACGTATAGTTAGGCCATATTACCTCCGAAGACTTGCTTTCATTTGGGGGTTGTATCAAGGAATTCTGATTTTATCAAAGAAGGATTTAAGAAATTGTCCTAGAAATACTACAGTTGCTACAGGGACATAGTTTACCATATTTCTCATTGTCTCCTGTGGTCAGTACTTGATGTCATAGCTCAGTGTCCTTGACAAAAATTCAGTTTTTCTCATTCCCTTGGTTCTGATCTCTCATTCACCAAGCAATATCCTGATGTCTGTGTTACTCTATCTACATAAAAAGAATATGCTGGTCATATAGATTTGGAGTATTTCTCATTGTAAATTAATAAAGAGACTTCTGAATACAATCTAGCATCCCAGGCTTAACCACAGGGGAAATGTGCTGATCGTGTCCTATGTGAGAATTTCCACTCTGTGTCACAGTAATATTTCTTATTATAAGTGACTAAATTAGTATTCTGGTTCTACCCCAATCTCATGTGTATTTGAGTTGATGTGAACCAATTTCTCAGAACCTGGTCATCTCCCTAAGCGATGAAAAAATAAATCTCTGGGCTTTGAAATGGAAGGCTAGATGAAATAAAAAGTGAAATCTAGCTTTCTCTAAGATAAAATATCTTCCTCTTCCAGTTGCATATCTGCTTATTAACATACCTCTAAATAAAGTCTCAGGTAAGAGGCTCATTTTAGAGCTAAATTTTAGGAAGAGTTCTACTTACCCCAAGAACTATGAAACCGATTATATTTCCTTTCCCTATCCTCTCCTCTTTACAATCAGGAAGCTTAGAGTCAACTTTTAGAAGTGGTTCTCAAACTTTTTCATATCTGTGAAATACTTTGCAGGCTAGAATCCAGGGCAACCAATTTGAATGAATTAAACAACGTATAGTTATTTTTATAACTCTAGATCAATTACTATATTATCTCAGATAACCTAGAATCAATTCACAATTAATTTATTGTCTATATGATCCCTTTTATGCATTGTAACTGTTTGAGAATTATTCCTGCCCAGACAATGATTTATCACATAATCACAAGGCAAAATTCTCATATTCCAGTGAACCACCATCTTCCTCTAAAGTCAACTTACTACTTTGCTTTGCCTTTCAACTTGAAGCAAATTTTGCAGCCTATAGCACCTCAACATTACATATGATGGACATAATTGTTCTATGACAAAATTAAAGTTATACATTTGTAAAAACTTCTCTGCATATTTTATCATCTTAGCACTCAAGAACCACTGTGTTATCTGTTTTTAATTTCCCCCACTGTGACTTTCTGGCATAAGTATATTTTCTTTACTTCTGGTGCTTTATTTTTATTTGTGTTTTACTATTTTACTGCATGCATGTCCTGCCTTTTAAAATTCTTTATGGATGAGACAATATGTTCAAAAAATAATGAAGAGAAATGCTTTCTCTTTGGTGCCTACTCTCTACTGCCCTCTGCAGGTAGAAATAAAGAATAATCTACTACACTATCTACAGCAAAGACCCTCACTCAGTAGAAAAAGTTTAAATTGGTAACTTTTTTTTTTTTTGGTTGGAGTCTCACTCTGTCGCCCAGACTGGAGTGCAGTGGCCGCTCCCGGCCACCGCAGCCTCGACCTGCCGGGCTCCGGCGATCCTTCCTCCTCAGACTTCCGTGTAGCCAGAATTACAGGCGCGCGCTACCACGCCCGGCTGATTTTTTGATTTATTGTAGAGATGAGGTCTCGCTTGCCCAGGCGGGTCTCGAACCCGCAGGCTCAGGCAATCCACTCACCTCAGCCTCCCAAAGGCGCGAGATTACAGACTGAGCCACCGAGCCCGGCTAATTGGTGACTTTTGAGAGGCTAATTATTACTATCCAAGCTCCATCAATTCACAAGAAGCCTTTTCCAAATTGCCAAAGCCCCCTCGCTGTGAAAAGATCTCTGGGAACCATGTACCCCATTTTCAACAGACCTCCCTATCTCCTGCACCCATATACAAATGGACAGCAAAATTCTCGTATTTGGGGTTATATCTAAGGGTCTCTAATGTCGAAGTTTCTTCCAGACCCGTAAAATTTGAGTGTGGGAGAGAAAGAGAGAGAGAGAGAGAAAAGAGACTCAGTAGTTATGACTTAAACGTTAAGAAATTCAGCTTGCCTGTGCTTTGCAGAAAAATGTGAACAAATGTTGGAACCCCTGCAATGCAGCAATCAGAGACGATGTGCGACTTTGCTTTTGTTTTTACTAAAAGTGTAAGGCTAGCTGCAAGATAACCAGCAAATAAGCAGCTTCAATTTTGCGTTCAAAGGACCGCTGATTATGCATGGATTATTTTCTTTAGTCACACTACTTTGTATGGGTAGCAACACTGTCAGTGACGTCATCTTCCTACTCAACAGACCCGAATGTATAGGCATATTGTGCCAACTGAGCCCAAATCAATGACCTGGGTAACGCAATCAGGGCAACACTATTATTCCTCGTCTAAATCCTCCAATCCCATAAAAAAAATAAATACTGATCTGATGCATGATCAAGGAATACGCTACATGGGAAAGAAAATCAAGTCCTTGTTTGAGTTGTATTTACATCCCAATATATACTCACAGAAAATGCATCACAATGCATTTTTTATGTGTTTTTAAATTGGTAGCAGGTTAAATAACTTATTCATGATCACACTTTCTTGGATAAGAATATTTTTAGCGAGGATATTTTCTAAAGAATGATCTGCAAGTATGTATTCACCTAGCATACCAAACCTTTTCACAACTGTGGAATCAGAATGATTTGTAGCATTCTTGATAGAGGAGGCGGCATTGCCTTATTGGTGGGGGTAAGGAAAAATGTGAAAGATGTGTGTAACTTTTAGTTCCATCTCCGCTTGCTTTATGGTTGGAGTCATTCCGTTTACTTATCTTTATAATGGGCATAATGGGGACTTAAATTAGGTTTTAAAACTTTCAACAGCTGGAGACTAAGCTTTCAGAGGTTAAAAATGTTTCTACAAAAGGAGCGTAGGAAAGAGGTCCAATGAGACTCTTCCCTCGTTTAAAAGAAAGCAATGGGCACCTTCGACAGAGCTGGGAAGGGGCTGCGGAGGCGCTTAGGGCTACCCGGTTTTCCAAGACCGCACATCCGGGACACCCGAGAGTCAGGCAGAGGCCCCGCCCACCGAGGGGGCGGGGCTACGGACGCCGGGCTCGGTCCTTCGGGCCTGCGCGCCGGGGGTTGGGCCTGCGCGGCGCGCGGCCTGGACGTGACGGAGCGCGGGGCGGGCTCCAGCCATGGCTGACGACGACCGGACACCTCAGGTCCGCGCGCTGCTGCAGCAGTACCTGCACTCCTGGCTACAGGTTCACCAAGCCGAGGTAGACCCCGCGGACCAGTGGGTGGAGGTATCGCCAACCTGGCGGTCCTCGTCAGCCCCCGGCGTGCAGGGATGGTTCTTCCTGCTTTGTGTCCGTGACTCGTCCCCGTCCCCCTCGCGTCTCAGTGACACGTCCCCCTTCAGTGTCCCTCTGGGCCAAGCGGGCAGGCCGGCTGGCGCCGGGCCAGACATCCCGCGAAGCCGCCCGCCGCCGCCGCACACGCCGGCCTGCCCGGCTTCGATTGTCTGGTCGGCCCGGCACCACGGTTCCCAGCGCCAGCCCTAGGCCCCGCGGCGTGTCTCGCCGCCTGGGGGCCCCGCGGGGATGTGAACCTCTTCTCGCCGCCTGCCCACCCGAGCTCCGTAGACTTGAGGCCTGACTGTCGCAGACCCTTGCAACTCGCGGCCTTGCTGGCCTGTAGAGGTCAGGTTTGCTGCAGGGGTGCGAGAACTGCTTTGACTGGTGCCCCGGGTCGCCTCGAATCCCCCCTTAGGTTGACTGTAGCTTGGTCTTGGCGTGGAGATGAGATCTCCCAAGAAACAACTCTCTTTCAAGAAGCTCTCTTAAAAACTTGACTTGTTTCCAACTGATAAACAAAGACCATTACTTTCATAATACTGTTGCTTTGTTATCGAACACATTTCCTGCAAAGAATTTTAAGAATTGACGTCGAGTTGCCTCTGCTTGCATACAGACTTGCTTTTAAGACAGCCTGCCGCCTACTCCATACAAAAGCAGATTTTTAAGACAGCCTGCCGCCTACTCCATACAAAAGCAAATGAAATGTTCTTTAATGCCTCTGACATATTTTTGCAGTATTTTGAAATGGAAGAAAAAAAATTCATAATCAAGACTTTTGGAGGTATTCAAACTTTAATGTAGCAAAATCTTTTTTTTTTTTTAATCATCATCTGCAAAAACAGCTCTCTTGAGGCACCACAAAATCTTACTCTTTTTTTTTTTGCTGAATTGGGTCCCAGATCTAACATTACTTAGCACAATCCTAGTTAATATTTTGAATACTACTCATGTGTGGGTGATTCCTATTAAATCAGAATCTTACCCTGTGCTAATTTGGAAATATAAGCATAAAAAATTCCTGTATTCTCACCTTCCCCTTTTCTCCGAAATTTATTTTCCTTATTTCTAATTTTTGTTAGGCCTTTTCGTTGAGGTCTTGATTTATCTTCCATATTTGAAATATTATTCTTTTTATATTTCCTATCCTATCTAAATAATTACCTATTTTTATAGTTGCCTCCTGACACTATAAATTCCAAACCATTAATCATTTCGTTTCCTTCCATGCTGCTTTAGCTTCTTTATGTTCTTCCTGCCACATCTCCTTATACAGAGTCACAGATATTTTATTACAGCCTTCCAAACTATCAGTTTGTGTTTATAAACTTTAAAAGCTGTTTTTAAAGGCTTTCTCTTTCACGCCTTCACACCACTAATTTTGTCTAAAGAGCTGACAAGTGATTTAGATGGTGAGAAAATATAAATTCTTTCCACTCTCTTATGCCTTCTCTATCGTGTTCTGTTATTAAAAAGTTTTTGTTATTTTAGTTACAGTGTTTGAATTGTCAAAAGATTTGAAGGTTACTTTCTTTACTTGTTCACTTAGAACTTTGCTATCACCGATTAATGTTTTTCTTTCTGGGAAGTGAATTTTTAAAATTATATTGAGAATTATCTGCACTTTCCTCTATATTTGTAATGTTTTATACAAAAGCTACAAGGAAAGTGGTCTTGACTTAAAGACAGGACTCTGTAGGTCATAAATGAAAAGAAAATCTCTTAATGAGGAGCTACTGTGGCTAACTGGAAAGAAGAAATGTCTATTTCTGCAAATAGTTTTTAAAAAGCACTTAATTCTGACATTGCAAGTGTCCGAATATGAATATGCTTCAGATTTTGGCTCATGCTGAAAACAATACCAGTGGAGAGGCCTACGACTGTAGTGCAGACAGCTGTTATCATTCAACTTGCCAGTTCCTTACTATGGTATGTATTGGAGGCCTTTGCCTAATGTTTCAGTAGCATAATAGCACTTTTTTAAAATGACTTTTTTCCAGGTAAGTCAAGTGTGAGTGCAGAGTTGCATTTACGTTTACATAGAGAACTATTTGGATGACACTTGAAGAGTCTGGAAAATATAGGTATTAATGCAATCAGCAACAGATAAATTGAGTTCCCTGTCATGTACAAAACAGTCTGTAAAGTGCTTTGGAAATTAAAATGTGAAGTAAATGGTGCCTCTGCCCTTAAATTTATTTTTACATACTCAATTAACAACCATTTATGTAGCACTTACTATGAACCAGGCACTGTTTTAAGCACTTTACCAATATTAACTCACTTAATCTTAATAGCTCCAGCAGTCAATGAGGTTAATGTGTAGAATCAAAAACCTGATGATTCACTCATCAGAATCGAAATCATTTAGTGTCTTTATTCTATATAGTCTCCTAAAAGAGCTAAGGAATAAATATCCAAGTCATTATGTAAAATAAACAAGTTTTGTATTTCTGATAACAACCAACCATTTAGTGTAGAACTTACCATCATAAATGTAATTTCTAAGGTTGAATCGTGCTTATTTAAAGCATTAATAACAACAAAAAATGAGTGTACAGTTTCCTGGAGTTTATAAAAATAGAATCAGTCTCTTATTTTCATTACCTGAAAGTAAATGGATTAGGGAGAATAAAAAGTGATGATGTCAAATGACATCAGTCACACTGTTGCTTATATCCATCAGCTATATCTGGTATAATGTGAATTCATTTGGTATTGAATAAATGGGTCCCCGCAAACTGAGAAAGAGGCTAGTTGACAGTCCTAATAATTTTGATTAGAAGTAAATGTTTGAAGGCATAACTTGTCACTGCTCTTGGCTATACTTTAAACTTAATTTTGGAATAAATAATAACTGAGGTGATTGAAACTTTAAGAATATTTTCTCACATATTTAAGAAAGCAAATTTATTATGAAACTTACTTCTCTTTGCTTTTAACCTCTGTGTAACAGTTGTGAATTGTATTCATTTAGCTCTAATCTGAGTTTACTTTGGTGATTTCTCATAGGTTCAGAGAGGATTAGTGATCTACGTGTGCTTTTTCAAGGGAGCTGATAAAGAACTTCTTCACAAAATGGGTTCGTGTTTGATTGGGGTTTTTTGTTTTCTTTTTTTAAGTATGAGGAAAAAACAGCAGTAGACAAATGAACCAGAAGGGGCAAGAAACACAATCTTTTTTTTCCCTTTTATTTTTTAGTTAACATGTAATGTACAGATTTATGGGTTACAGGGTGATATTTCAGTATATGTAAGCAATGTATAATGATCAAATCAGAGTAATTGGCATATTTATCACTTCAAAAGTGTATCCGTTTTCTGTTGTGGACATTTAAAATCCTCTCTTCTAGCTTTTTGAAAATATACAATAAATTATAGCTAACCATATTCACTGTACAGTGCAGCAGAACACCAGAACTCATTCTTCCTATCTAGCTGTAATTTTGTATCTGTTAACCAATCTCCATTCTAAGAAGCACAGTCTTAAATTGTGCTGATACATAAATTATTAACTACTTAATTCCGTCTGGTGTTGGCTTTAGCTACTTGCCTATTTCAAAGTTTAAAGTAAGCAAGTATGGTAGAATTATTTTAAAACATCTGTAGCATTTTATAGATTGATTTAGAAGAGTGTACACACATACACACAGTACACTTCAGCCAAGAATACAGAAGCTTGTTGGAAGCAGGGTGGCTACATGAGAAGAAACAGATGCTGCATTTCTTAATATAGTTTCCCTTAGCCCCCCTGAGTCCCTAACAGAAGCAGTAGATGGCATTGTATGTACAAAGTATGGGTCCTGTCAAACCTGGACAACTCAAACTTACATCAATATTTTGGAAGAATTTGTACTGACCATTTGTGCACTTCCTTGTAGAAAATATGTATAAATTTAAGGTTCTCTTGGTTCTTGAACCAAACTCCGTGTCATCACAGCCACACCTCCTGCAAAGACATGGAAAGCAGAGTCATTATTCAGGGATCGCTGAACAATAATTTGCCTGCAGCTTTCTAGTGTCCTGGACAGACCAAACACTGTATATTCTTTGTGATAATTTTATAGGTTCACATATACCCAATCAAATCACGTTCCATCTCAAGGCAGAAGTTAAGAGAAAAAAAAATGGAGCTATCCCTAAGGTTGGGGACAAGTTATATTCTCCTTTTTAGTAAAGGATAGCACCCATTTGTTGGATTGATAAGAAATACAATTTATACAAATGGGAGTTGAAGCTTAACGAAATTAACCTAAAAGAGCTTCAAGGGCAAATAGGCCAATAAGTAATAGCTTGGACAGTAAAGCTGCTAGAGGGAGTTTTATGCTGATATATCAAACACATTGGACAACTTTGTCTCAAAGGATTAAAACTAGACTTAAGAAGGGACTATGATAGATGAGACTGGAAAGCCAATAACTGTAATAGTTTGAAATTTGAATCCAGCAGATAATAAGGAGGCTTCGACAGGTTTATGAAGATAATGTAATGAGGGCTCCTATTATAGAGGATAATTTGTCACGTCTCACTGCTGCAGTGTTAAACATTTTGTCCACTTTCCTAAGTTAATATTTTGCCTCGCTAATATCTTCATTGGCCATAAAAAATACAATAGAAATCTTCAAAAACAGGAAGAAAACTTTTGACATTCTGGCTTAAAATTGACTTCCTAAAGTTGTCTCATAGAGTCTAGATGGGTCTTAGTCATAATAGGATGAAATGAGCCCACCAAATCCAAGCTGCATGTTTTATAGCATTTAAATTCTGTGTGTTTCCATGTATGTCTTTGTGAGTTCACTTTAAATATATGCATAAGATTGTGAACCGCCAGGCTCGGTGGCTCAGCCTGTAATCCCACGCCTTTGGGAGGCTGAGGTGAGTGGATTGCCTGAACCCGCGGGTTCGAGACCCGCCTGGGCAACTTGGCGAGACCTCATCTCTATCAAAAAATCAGCCGGGCATGGTAGCGCGCGCCTGTAATTCCAGCTACTTGGAAGGCTGAGTGGAAGGATCGCCGGAGCCCTGCAGGTTGAGGCTGCGGTGGCCGGGAGCGGCCACTGCACTCCAGTCTGGGTGACAGAGTGAGACTCCAACTCAAAAAAAAGAAAAAAAGATTGTGGTGAACTAAAAACACTGAGGAGGTCCACCTTAACTCTTTTAGTGAGTTGTCTAACACAGAGCTTTAATAGATCGTGATTCTTGGTAAAGGAGTATATGACTCTAAGATTGACATTTTGTTGGTTTGAGTTTTAGGCAAAATAAGCCCATCTATTATTAATAGTGTTCGCTTGTATTTCCCTCTATTCCAGTAGGCAAAGTAAGTCAATGTGGTGGGATTCTCTTAAATCCCACCTCATACTTATTACAGGGACTCAGATATTTCTAATCAAATCACATATCCCTTTGGGAATGTAACAACATAGAAATGTTAGAATCTTTCTCTTATTCATTTTCAGTATTACTGGACTGAGGTCCAGGAACCTGTCAAAACTTCCCATCATGTCGTTAGAGATTCATGATTGATAACCTGTCTTAGGATCTTCAAGTTTCCAATGAGCCATTAATTTACTATCTCATTTTAATTCTCCCTACTGGTATTTGCATTTGTATTTATCTCCATACTGATACTTTTATACTAGTAGCATTAACTGAATTCACAGTTACAGCCAGTAGAGGGAGATATGTGGAAGTATTAGTTAGATAGTGATTTCCATTGGAATAACGTGCTCTAGAGTGTTAAATTTCCTTAGATGCTGTCAATAAAGACTGTTGCTATAGCAAAGTCTTATTTGCAATGGAGAAAATGATATATTTTAAAATAAATGTTAGCTAAGTGATTATTGATGATTCTTACTGCATAGCTTCGGAATTGATTTGTGTGCTCACTTTGGCAGGTTGTTTTGTTTTATTTTGTTTTTTTGTGAGTTGGAGTCACACTCTGTTGCTCAGACTGGAGTGCAGTGGCATGCTCATGGCCACCGTAGCCTCTATCTGCTGGGCTTTGGTGATCCTTCTGCCTCAACCTTCCAAGTAGCTGGAACTACAGGCACGTGCCACCATGCCCTGCTAATTTTTTTTTTTTTTTTTTGAGTTGGAGTCTCACTCCGTCACCCAGACTGGAGTGCAGTGGCCGTTCCCGGCCACCGCAGCCTCGACCTGCTGGGCTCCAGCGATCCTTCTGCCTCAGCCTTCCAAGTAGCCGGAACTACAGACATGCGCTACCAAGCCCGGCTGATTTTTTGATTTATTGTAGAGATGAGATCTTGCTGCCCAGGCGGGTCTCAAACCCATGGGCTCAAGCAATCCACTCACCTCAGCCTCCCAAAGGTGTGGGATTACAGGCTGAGCCACCGAGCCCGGCTTAATTTTTTTTATTTATTGTAGAGATGAGTTCTCTCCAAGTTGCCCAGGCTGGTCTCGAGCCCCTGGGCACAGGCAATCCTCTCACCTGGGCCCCCAAACTGCTGGGATTATAGGCATGAGCCACCGTGCCCGGCCAGCAGGTTTTTACCAGATTAATTCCAGGATTTGTAGAGTGGGGCAACCATACTGAAGTGTTATTCATATTTACTATATACTCTCTAATAACTGAAACCATTACTACCCCAACAGAAAGCATGCCTTTTGGAGCCTCATTTTTGGGCAGGAGCTTGTATGGACTATTCTACCATTTGCCCTCTCAGCACTGTTCTCTGCAAGCAGAAGTTGTTTATACCTTTATAAAGGTCAGGAGACTTTATATTAGACACTTACTTTGCTTATTTTTTTATGGTGGTTTTAACACTCCTTAGCTATAAATCTCAGTGCTATAAAAATAACACCACCATGTTTCCTTATAATGTATATGAAGAAGTACCCGATAGCTCTATATCTTTTTATTTACTTTTTCAGTTGTAACAATGCAACAATGCATTTCTGGTGATTCTTGCTTTCACCTTTACTCTTCTCCCATGGATTATATTTGTAAAGTACATTAAGGTTATTAAACTACAGTCAATTGGTTTATAATGGAATCAAACCAATAAACTTTGTCTCAGCTTAAAATGCTTGGCAACTAAGTTTAAAATAATAAGTTCACTTAAAAAAATTATTTCATGTAAAAACTGATTATTTGCTTTATTTTTAATTTTATTTATTTATTTTTGTTTTAAAGATGTGGGGTACAATTTAGGATTACATATACAAGTGGTCATCTTACAGGTAAAGTTTGGGCCTTCCTTTGGTCGCCCCTTTGCCTGGTTTGAGATCAGGTACCCTTATTGATGTTGTCTCCCCCCACCCCCCAACCTCCTCCCCAGCAGTATCCTGCTACTGCCAATCCCTTTCTTTTAGTATTATGGTAAATGTTCAGGGTCTACTTATGAGTGAGAACATGTGGAAGTACACTAAAATTTTTATTTACTGTTCTGTTATAAAGCAGAATTTGGTTTGAGGAGGATTTATTATTCTTCCAGTGAGATTTGTTTATGAAAATATAAGGAGCCGGGCTCGGTGGCTCAGCCTGTAATCCCGTGCCTTTGGAGGCTGAGATGAGTGGATTGCCTGAGCCCCCCGGGTTCAAGACCCGCCTGGGCAGGGAGACCTCATCTCTACAATAAATCAAAAAATCAGCCGGGCGTGGTAGCGCATGCCTGTAACTCCGGCTACTTGGAAGGCTGAGGTGGAAGGATCGCCGGAGCCCAGCAGGTCAAGGCTGCAGTGGCCGGAAGTGGCCACTGCACTCCAGTCTGGGCGACAGAGTGAGACTCCAACTCAAAAAAAAAGAAAGAAAGAAAATATAAGGAACAAGGACACACAGTCTTTTCATGTAGTTCCCCAAGGCAACAATATTTGAGATTCCAGTATACAGGTAATTCTTTAGACCTTTCTGGATGGACGTATTGTTCAATGATCTTAACTGCCAAGTCAGACTTAAAATATCTTGCCATTTTCTGCATGAAATTTGCCTTATTTTTCATGCTTACGTTATTTAGCTTAGTGAAGCAAGTTTTCACCTCTAAATAGAGACTTTGGGGTAGAAGTATGAGCTGACAAAGTTTTAAATGTGAGATTTGCTGACTAACTAAAAAATTGATGGTTTTCTTTGTTTTTGACTTCAAAATGTTTTGCCTTTCTTCCCCACCCAGTTAATACACTGTTAAATGTGAAATTAAATGAAACAGAAAATGGCAAGCATGTTTCTATACTGGATTTGCCTGGTGACATTCTTATCATCCCTCAAGCCACCCTTGGTGGGAGAGTAAAAGGAAGAAACATGCAGTATCACTCTAACTCTGGAAAAGAAGAAGGGTTAGAACTTTATTCTCAATTTGTGACTTTATGTGAAAAAGAATTAGCTGCTAACAGCAAGTATGCTGAAGCTGGGGTTGTAGTGGAACATGGCACTTATGGGAACAGACAGGTGTTAAAGCTGGACACCAATGGACCATACACATTTAATTGAGTTTTGAAAATTATAAAATAGTTTCTACAGCTGTTTTCTGAACCAAAATGATCTGAACTATAATTAGAGTTTGTTCCTTTTCATCCTGAATACACTAATCTGCAGTATTTTTAGACAAAATCCTGGTTCCTTACATAACTCTGCAACCTGCCAACTGAATGACATTGCCAAGTCACCTGAACTCTGGATCTCAGTCACCTTTTTTCCTACTTTCCTCTGCCTTTCCTCTCGAAAATCTGAAAAATATTGTCCATTCACTTCATAGTCATTAAGGAATTGTATTTAAAGGTTTACATATATTTTAAGTATTTTGCAGTGAAGAAATTTGTGCAATCAAGAAAAATACATTTCTCATACCTTCAAATTTGCATAGTATGTAATAAAAATAACTTTGTATTAAAATTTAGTAAAATTCAGTAAATTAAGTAATTTAGTAAATTTAGTAAAGTTACAAACCAATTGTAACTTTATCAGTTTTGTTTTACTATTGTGCATATTTTGAATGAAAGAATGTAATCCATCATTCCTTTTAATAGTATCTATGAAAATGTAATATAGAAGTGTTATTGTTATTATATTACTTTCCAAGGACATCCAAATGCTTTACATTATTTTAAGACTCTTGAGCTGATATGAAAACAAGGTATAGGGGTTTAAAAGCTGTTTTTATTAAACATACCTATACAGATAGGTTAATGTTCCGTTTCTCAATTTTTACTAAAGCCATGTATGTCTCATGTTCTGTCTTTGGTTTTTAAGGAATTGTTTCATGAAATTACTGTTCATAAGTTTTTTAGGAAGCTCCTTCCCTGTTGAATTAGATTGCTATAAAAGGAAGAAAAGGGACACTTTCTACAAGAATAGTTTAAAAACAAATGTACTTATTTATTTTAATATTTTCTGCTTGATGATTTGGAGCCAGCATCAGTTTTTCTGTCAGTTTATGGTATGGACTGGATATTTGTGCCCCTCCCCCAAATGTATATGCTGAAGCCCTTATCCTCAATGTAATGGTATTTGGAGATAGGGCCTTTGGGAGGTTATTATGGCCATATGAAGTCATGAGGACAGAGCCCTTATGATGTGATTAGTGCCCTTAAAAAGAGGCTAGCCGGGCTCGGTGGCTCAGCCTGTAATCCCGCACCTTTGGGAGGCTGAGGTGAGTGGATTGCCTGAACCCACGGGTTCGAGACCTGCCTGGGCAGCGAGACCTCATCTCTACAGTAAATCAAAAAATCAGCTGGACGTGGTAGCGCATGCCTGTAATTCTGGCTATTCAGAAGGCTGAGGCGGAAGGATCGCCGGAGCCCAGCAGGCGAGTCTGCGGTGGCCGGGAGCGGCCACTGCACTCCAGTCTGGGCGACCAAGTGAGACTCCAACTCAAAAAAAAAAAAAGAGGCACAGGCTGAGTATGGTAGCTCACGCCTCTAATCCCAGCACTTTGGGAGGTGGAGGCAAGAGTATTGCCTGAGCCCAGGGGTTTGAGACCAGCCTGGGCAACTTGGTGAGACCTCGCCTCTGCAATAAATCAAAAAATTAACCAGGCATGGTGGTGCATGCCTGTCTTTCCAGCTACTTGGAAGGCTGAGGTGGAAGGATCACCTGAGCTCAGCAGGTTGAGGTTGTGGTGGCCGTGAGTGTGCCACTGTACTCCCGCCTGAGTGACAGTGAAACTCCAACTCAAAAAAAAAAAAAATTAAAAGACACCAGAGAGCTTGTTCTCTCTCCCTCCACCAACGTCCCACCTGAGGACACAGCAAGAAGATGTCTGTCTACCAGCCAAGAAGAGAGTCATCACCAGGAGTTGACCATGCTGACACCTTGATCTTGAACATCTAGCCTCAAGAACTGTGAGAAAGTAAATTCCTGTTGTTCAAGCTACCCACTCTTTGGTATTTTGTTATGGCAGCCCACGCTTACAAAGATAGTGATATAAGATAGACTGGTAGTAGGGTAAATGTTTTAAAGGCAAGAGTGGAAGGTAATACAGGAAATTGAAAGGATAATAAGTCAATAAGAGATAATATTCAGTTTCTGCGAACTCCTCTGACATGGGATTTTGAAGGGTGTTTTTTAAGAGAGAAAACCAAATAATATTTCGAATTACCAAATAGGTGAAGAAATTAGCTTAAATAATCATCCTAAGTAGCTGCTGAAAATTCCTTTGTGTCTTATAATTTCTTTAGGTCTATGTTCCTAAATTTTTTATTATCACAAACAAAATCCTATTTCCTCTATACCCTTCCTGTACTATTCTATTTTGAAACTTGAGAATCAATAACTGGCTTGATAATGAGCTCACTGTCCTTAACGTTTACTGTATTGATTTGTGACACACTTATTGAAATGTAATAAACTATTCATAAACTTGCAAACTCCAGTGGTCGCAAAGCTTCTTCAGAAAGGTGTGCATGTTTTTCAAAAAGATTATGTTACCTATTTAAGATCATTTTGATTTTACATCTAAGTGAAATGCTGACTCACAGCCCTAGATTGCTGTTTTATATTTCAAGCAATCCTCCTTTTAAAATGTGTTTGAGGTACTTGTGGAGAAGAGCACTTTCAATACATGAAGGGTTATTAAGCAAAGGTGATGGCCAAGTTTGCATAATTTCTAGGGAGACTACAACAAGGGAAAGGTAAGAGTAATAATGGATATGAAAATAACTACACATTGGCTTTCTGTAGCTCTTCTGGCCTAAGGTCCTCAAAAAAACTTTCAATAGATATTTTATCTTCACAGTATATGTAAAATGAGGATAGCACTGTGCAAAGATAATACTTAATAATATTCCCAAGGTCACACAACAGGAAGGAATAATTTTTATCATCTCGACTTTATTGCAGTGGGTCATTCAAAATTGAAATTGATTTTGATAAAGGCTTAACATCTCTCCGTGTCTATCACTTGAGAAAGAATAGCCAGTAAGTTGGTTTACTTTTTACTAGGTGCAGGTAGGGTTGCACTTAATGTAGGTGTCTTATTTTATCTCAACTTAGAAACCTGGAACTAATTATAGAAAACACTTGTATAAGACACAATGGATATGATTTTAATATATAAAGGAAAATCAAATACACTTTGCCATCCCTTTATTCAAGTCAAAAGAGGGCATGCCATTTATGAATAATACCTGTACTAATGATTGTTGACTCCATAATTAATTTATCAAATATCAGTATCAAATACTGTAGAATCCTATGCCACTTGTTTTAGATAATAAGAACTTACATAGGTGTTATAAGAGAACAATGTAATGTCAGATTTTTACTGTCTGTGATTAACATTGTAGAGGACCTGAATTATGTTATAGCTGAATATATAGCCAAAAAAAAAAAACCTGCCACAATGCAACTCCAATGTATTTAGAAGTGTTTCATGCCAGGCATGGTGGCTCACGCCTATAATCCCAGCACTTTGGGAGGTGAAAGTGAGAAGATTGCCTGAACCCAGAGGTTCGAGACCAGCCTGGGCAACTTGGTGAGACTTCATCTCTACAATAAATCAAAAAATAAGCCTGGCATGATGGCCCATGCCTGTAGTTCCAGCTACTTGGAAGACTGAGGTAGAAGGATTGCCTGAGCCCAGCAGGTTGAGACTGCAGTGACCATGAGTGTCTCACTCCACTCCAGTCTGGGAGACTGACCAACTCAAAAAAAAAAAGTGTTTCTCCTATTAATTTATTGGAATAAGACTAGTTTCTGAAAGGGGAGAACTAGAAAAGTAACATTTTCATTTTGAAGCCACTCCTTGGTGATGACTTTAAAAATTTTATCGTCTCCTAATTATTCTCCCTACCTCCTGTTTCTCCTATGTCTAATCCTTTTCTGCAGACCATCTCCAAGGTAATGTTCCTAGAACATGTCTTTCTCTGTGATATTCTACTGCTTAGAAACTTTTATAACTCCTCTTTATCTACAGGACAAAGTCTTCTGAGGTTGGCATCAACGCTTTCCATATTCCTTAGGAGTGAGTAAAATCACTCAGGGAGAACTGTAGAGAACTAAAGTCAGAATCTTAAGAAATAGCTTGTAAAGAAAGGGCATGGTATGAGGGGCCGGAGGAAACCATGAGATTTCAGAGTGGCATTTAAGCAAAGATACGAGGGATGCACACACACAAAACAATTATTTTTGGGAACGGGATTATTTTGTAATACAGGCTTCCCCGCAAGGTAAGTCTAGGAACCCATTGGCATCAGTATACCAGCTAGCATTGTTGTGAGAGACTGCTTTCGGCTTCAGTGAATTTTTTTTTTGGAGATTGTTTCAACGCATTTGCCTTTTCATGGTGGGTGATTTTCAAGTGCACTGAGTGTGCTTGCCAAGTGTTCGTTTTTTGACCAAAAACGGCATGACTCCCTTGTCCCACCCTCCCTATTCAACCTATCTCACCCCAAGCAATTTTTTGTTGGTTTCCCTGATGAAAAAAGTCCTCAAAGGGAACCGTTTTGCTAATGTGGAAGAAGTGAAAAAATAACAGAAGTACTAAAAGGCATCAAAATGTATGAGTTTCAAAACTCTTAAGCCATGGAAAAAGTGTCTCAATAGGGGTGGTGTATTGCATCAAATGAAGAGTACTTTGTAGGTGACTGAAGTTTAAACACGCAAGTTTGACACTCAGCTTTCCCATAGACTGTGTATGTTACTCTATGGGAAATGTATAAGTAAATTCTGGGTATTTTTGAGTCCTCATATTTTCTTTTTTTTTCTTTGAGTTGGAGTCTCACTCTGTCGCCCAGACTGGAGTGCAGTGGCCGCTCCCGGCCACTGCAGCCTCGACCTGCCGGGCTCCGGCGATCCTTCCGCCTCAGCCTTCTCAGTAGCCGGAACTACAGGCACGCGCTACCACGCCCTGCTGATTTTTTTATTTTATTGTAGAGATGAGGTCTTGCCTGCCCAGGCAGGTCTCGAACCCGCGGGCTTGGCAATCCACTCACCTCAGCTTCCCAAAGGCGTGGCAGTACAGGCTGAGCCACCAAGCCCAGCTTGAGTCTTCATATTTTCAAGATGTAAACAGTGACGAAGTCGGTGCTGAAGAAAAATTAGTTGACACAAGGGCTGAGGAGAGACCACTGGGCCTACCAGTTGGGTGTTTCCAGAGCCTATGGGGTATTTACAATAATTAATAGTAGGCATTATTAATCTTTTGATCTTTTGTCCTGTGGCAGAGTGTCTCAAAGTGTGTCAGTGTACCAGAATCACCTGTGGAGCCTGTTAAAATGTAGTTTTCTGGTACGATCCAAAACATACTAAATCATATTCTCAGGAGTCCAGATCTGTCTAGTACCAGTCTTCCCCCAGGTGATCCTTGTGTACACTGGAATTTCAGAACCTCTGTTATTGAGAATTCTAAGAAAAGAATGATTCATTTTTCTTTTTTTTTTTTTTGAGTTGGAGTCTCACTCTGTCACCCAGACTGGAGTGCAGTGGCCGCTCCTGGCCACCGCAGCCTTGACCTGCTGGGGGCTCCGGCGATCCTTCCACCTCGGCCTTCCAAGTAGCTGGTACTACAGGCACGTGCTATCACACCTGGCTTATTGATTGATTGATTGATTGATTGTAGAGACAAGGGCTCACCAAGTTGTCCAGGCTGGTCTCAAACCCCTGAACTCAGGCAATCCTCTCACCTCGGCCTTCCAAAGTGCTGGGATTACAGACTTGAGCCACCACACCCAGCCATACTACTCTTGATACTTGTGATGTCTTTATGAGATTGAGTACTTTGTCTTTAATTTTTTAGTATATGTCTTGCCTACAAAAGTATAAGTAATATTGGGCAGAGACCGTATAATGATGGGCAGGCATAGTGCAGTATAAACTTTTTATCTCCCACAGTACTTCCATAGTGCTGTACCTGTTGTCTATATTTAGTAATTCTCAGTAGATATTACACCACTACTTCACACAGGCTTCTTTGTTGTTAAGGACTAAAGAGATGATGGAGGTGCAAGAAACAAGTTTAAAACAGCTATACTTTGCATTAATACAATAGATAACACCAGAAAAGTTGGAGATACATTTTCTTAAGGTTCACTCTATAGAATCTTTCTAATATAGAATGACTATGTAAGAGCTCTGTGCCTAAAAAAGTGTACTAAAAGCAAATTTCTCTTATACAGAAAGGAAAAACTATTTCCTTAAGAAAACGTATCTTTGACTTTCATAAAACTTT